CGGGGTCCGCTCGGTGCGCGGGATGCTCGGGATGAGCGGGGCGCTCTCGGTGCGCGGGATGCGCGGCTCTGCAGGAACCCGCCCGGCACAGCCCGGCCCGGCCCGGCCGCGGGGGCCTCGCCGCCTCTCCGCGGCCCGCCCCGCTCGCTCTGCCCCGCCCCATTCCATCCCCAGCCCTATTCCCATCCCCATTCCCATACCCATTCCACTCCCTTCTCGCCCCGCTGCGCCCGCGCTTTCCCTCCACGGCTTCTCCCGGAGCGGTTCCCGCACCTCCTGCTCGCCCTTACTTACTTTTAACAAATCACTACAAGCCCGAGGAGCAATCAATAGCTCTGAACGATCGCGTTTGACCTCCTTAAGGAGAGGAAAGAGCAATAACGCCAGCGCCAGCTCCCCTTTTTTCCTCCCCACGTCCCGCCGGCTGGGGCACCCGGGGCTGCGGCGAGGAGCCTGAACCGCGCTCCGGCCCAGCTCGCCCCGCACTTCCCGAAGGATCCCGGTGTGTGGCGGGGCTGCGGCGGCTCCCTTCCTCCTTCCCTCCCGGCCTGTCTGACGGTCTGGGGCTGTCCCGGCGGCGCTGCACATCGGCGGGGGTCCCACCGCCCGCAGGGGCAGCGCGGGGCTAAATCCACTCCGGGCCCAAGTCCACCCCAGGCCTGCACCCCCTCCGGGCTTGCACCGACACTCCAAGGCGGGGCTCAGCCCCTCCGCGGGGAAGCGGGGAGCGCCTGCCCTTTTCACCTCCCCCCCTCACCTGGCCCGGTGCCGAGCTCCCGCCGGCCGGGAGGGTGGAGAGCGGGTCTCCCCCCGGCGCTGCCGCACTCGCCCGCACCGTTCCTCACCCACCGCATTTCCCATTTCCAGCCGCACCCCGCCACTCTGGGCCCGATTTATTGCTCAGCTCTCTTGGCTGCACCGAGCCGGCGGCAGCGCCAGGGCAAGGCGGGTGGAAAAGCACCCACGGTCGGGGTCGTATTGAGGTGTCCCCTGCTCCTGCCAGGCTTGGTCCCCTCCCCGGTGACAGGAGCAGCTCTTTCTGCCTTGAGGAAGTTTCCAGCCGTGGGGTAGAAGCACACACGGTCCTGGCACGCTCATCTTAGTAGGGCTGCACTGAGCCATATCTCCTTTTCTGCGGAGAGAGCCCTTCCTTTTATTTTTTTCCCTACGTCGGAGGAAATGTTTAAAAACTATCTAAAAATTGCGACTTAGAAAAATACCCCAGTACTAGGTGTCCCCAGTTTATGTCGCACGCCGGCTGCCTGTCCTGGCTTTCCCTGCCTGTCCACACGCTCCTCATGGCACACACCTGCCCTCCCAGTCCCCTCGAACTCCCTTCCCCTCTCACCCCCGGTGCTCACTGCTCTCCGGTGGTAAAATCTGGGTGTGGAATGACGGAGCTGCCCGGGAGTCTCCGCGGGCTTCGTCTCCCACGGCCCCAGTTCCGGTTCGGGGCTTAAACCTGACAGACTTTCCACCCCAACCGAGTTTTAGTCCTCGGTGACTCGCCCCGTGCCCCGTTCCCGCTGCCAGCTGAAGGCGACAAACGCTACTGGGAATCAAAACATGCCCAGTAACGCTGGCAGAGATGTGGAAATGGGCCACGGAGAGAGCAGCGGATAAAGCGGGCCGTAGGCCGCCGATGCAGGGAGCTCTGGACATGCTCACCCATCGAGTCACTTCCCCTCTCTCGCTCACCTCCAGGACACTCCGCGGAGCCTCCCCGGGCCCGGAGCGGCAGAGCCCGGCTCCCTCCCGCCCCGGAGGTTACAACGGCTTATTTCCTTCGCCAAGTGCTAACACCACCTGGTTATCCGCCAACCGTAGCGCTCTGGGGTGCTGGTAACCGCCCTGGAGTGTTTAGGGGGGCTTTTGGGGTTTTTTTCTCTTTTTCAGTATCGTTGCCAGGAGTCGAGGGTACCTCGAGGGAAACGGCTCTGCCCCGGTAGGGCCCGGACATACCGGCCCGGCACCAGCGGGGCTCTCCCCAAACCTGCTCCCTGCAATTCCATCCGGCGTTATTGCAGATCCAGCCTCTTCCACCAAACAACAGATGCAGCCTCTAATGCAAATATTGCCATTTCCCTGCTGAATTAGCCTTGTCACTTAGCCCAGAAGCTGGCAGCGTTAAGCCAGCTTGCATTTTAATTTGGCCCTGAAGTTACTTATTTCATTATTGATCAAACATAATGCTGAATCAATGTTCATCTTGTTACCTGGGCCATTTCCATGTAATACAGTGATAGCACTGCCTGGAGTTACTCATTCCCATCCCAAAGTGACTTTACCATAAAATCAATGCTTGTTTGTTACTGATATAAGGCAGCATCCGTGGGATGAAGAGCGAATAAAGCAGTTACGCCACCGCGATCTGAAAGTTTGGACGGAATATGTACGCGAATAAAGACTTTAATATTTAAATGTATTTTATCGGCATCAAAATCATCCTAGCCAGGCCGATGGGACAGAAAATCTCAGGCTGCAAGATGACGGGCTTTGATAGTGTAGGTGTTGCCATTTGTAAACGCTACCTGGGACTTAATGGGGGAATCGTTTCTCTACCCAGAGTATCATTACACAGCAGATGTGGGCTGTAAGCTCTTCCGGGAAGGGACTGTTTTGGAAAAATAGTAATTAATACAATAGTAATTAATGATTGTGTCACAAGATTAGACTCCGCGCAGTATCTTCAGCGCAGCTGCTGCTCCTTTTCTTTGCTTGTGTTTTCCCCTCCAGCTAATAAACCCAGTTACAAATTACACGGAGCCATCCCCATGCCCGGCTCTCCCATGCGGCGGCTGGAGAGTGCTGGAGCACCCCACGCGAGGAATGCCCCATTTCGCCGTCACACGGAAAGCCTCCGGAGGTGTCGTTTGAGCTGCATTTTCCACGCACGGCGCCTCCAGCCGCCCCTCTCCCGGCTCTATACCGGATGCACCGGTCCCAGCCCGGGGGGAGACACCTCCCGGTGGGCTGCGGACAAGGGAAGGGGCTATCCTCCGGGAAAACCAGAGATATCCTCCCACGGCGGCGGCCTGGGGGGCGGTCAGGGCGTGGGGAGGTGTGAGCCCCCGCGGTGCCGGGCGGGACCGGCTCCCCGCCGCACCGTGCCGGGGGCTCCCCCCAGGGCGTGCTAGGGAACGGACCAGCAGGGAGCAATAATCTGGGTTTAAACCCGCTGGTAAAGCTCGAGAAACCCAGGATACCCTCGGCTCCTGTTTAAAAAACGCTACAGCCCTCCAGGCGGAGCCGGTTCCGGAGCCGCGGACATCCTCTCGCCAGCTGAGAAAGGTGGGGACGGTCCGGCCCGAGCGATAAGAGCCGGGGCTGCAATGAGAAAAACAAGGAGGGGAAGTTTCCCGCAGCTATGCGCACTTTGCGCCCACTCCTCCGCTCCCGCGCAGCGCCGGGAGCGGCCCCGCCGAACTCACAGCGCCACGCTGACACCGGCCACTCGCTCCGATAGGCGACGGAAAACCTAACTGGGCGCGTAAAATATATTGGCATAAAATTAGTGAATTGCACTAACAGATTGTAAATCACCTAAACGGTCAAACCACAGATATGAATCACAAATTCCTATAAAGATTAATGTTTCCTAAGATTCACGGCAATTATGCAGTTTTTGGACAAAAGCCTTTTCCCAACCTATCATTCCTGAGCGCTGCTTTTTTTTTTTTTTTTATTTTCTGAAGTCTTTCCAGGTTTCGGTGGGGTTTCTAACGAACGATTTACCAAAGGAAAGGTTTTATTAACACCTCTAAAAACTGTAAAGTGTAAAAGCAGGGAGAAAGGGAGCAGATCGGAAGTTGGGAAACACAATATACTGACCTACTGGCAACGCTCCGAACGCAAATCAACAAAGCGCCACAATGGTGGGGGGCGGGGGGGTGGAAGTCAGAGGAATGGAAGGGGTAAAAAAAACGACCAAGAGGCCAGCTTTGCCCCGATGGTAACCAGGCTGTGCTCAGAGCTGCCCCAGCAGCCTTCGGCATCTGCTGATAGCCCCTTACCTTTGCTTACCCCCTTGTGGCACACACTGAAGCCTGAGCTGCTTAAAAGCGGAAGAAGCAGGAGGAGAACACGCCTGCGAACAGAAAGGGGGCATTATTTCTCGAGGAAATAGGTTGGCAGGAGGTGTATGGGACTTCAGGTCTCTCAGGCACTATTTTTCCCTTCTCGCCTCTGTGCAGAACTGGAGATAATAGTTGAGGCTGCAGGTAACGGAGTCTGTTCTTATTCAATTTCCCTAAATGGCCTGGAGAGCACTTAAAAGCCCGGAGAGCTTCTGGCCAGCATTTTCTTATTAACTAATTTCACTTCGATCCTATTAAAGTGTATGCTTTCTAACCTTCAAATGAACCTCTCCCTCCCCCTTCTAAAACAAAGCCAATACCTTTTAATGACAGAGTGAAGCTTTTGAAAATGTTCCTACCTCCTCTCCTAACATTACAGAACGCGTGGCCCATTAACAGCCGCGGAGCACCCAGTCTTGCTGCGGGCCCTCCCCGCACCACAGGACCCAGAGCACCCAGGAAGGCTCCACCGAGGCGGAGCCGATGGTCCCAGCGCCCGGGAAGGGGTGGCCGAGCCATGGGGAGCTGTGGACAGAGGGCGCTAGAAAATGAGATTGGGCAGATTTGCCTTATTTCTCTTTGGGAAAATCTCAGCAATAATGGGTTTTAAATGGATACATATATTTACCATTTCAAAAGGGTTCTGCTGTTTCCTGGTAACGCTCACCACAAGTGGTAATAATAAAAGATGAAGTATTTTTTCTCACCTTAGGTCATTAGATTTACAGACAAGGTACTAAATCATTTTAGCTCCCCAAACCTTGAAGGAAAGGCACGCACACACTCGTGTCCCTTTCTCTTCTCCTCCCCCTTCTGAAGAAACATGCAACGAGAACAGAGACAAAACAGTCACCGAGGCTCGGAGAATGCTGCCCTTTAATAGTTTACTACTAGTAGTACTACTACCACCAATAATAGTTGAGTTGACGTTGGCTGCAGAGTGTGAATTGTCAGTGGCCTCGTCCCAAAGCCTTAACAAGAAGGGTCATTAATTGTGTTTTCTTTCCAAATCATATGTCACTGCAATTAACAGATTCTGATCAAGAGACTCCTTTCAGATTGATTCCATATGTGATAAGGAATGTGCAGCTTGTTATCTATCTGTCGCCTTGGAATTATGGAAAAGCTTCAAACGTGTAATTTGAAGAGTCTTTTACCCAGCGCTTTGATCTTCCCCTCTATTTTTTAACTCTTGTTTTACTGCGGCCCTACTCCTAATCCCACTTGTTTGTCTACCCCCCTTTCCCCGGTGGCTGCGCCCCGTTCCTTCGTGTGCTGTGACACGGCGCAGTTCCCACCCTGCCCGCACCCCGGCACCCCGCGAGATTCAGCCTGAACCCTCAGCCCTCCCTACAGCTCCCCCGCAACTTCCAACAAGCAGCCTTCGGCTCCTCGGACGGGCCCTGCGACAGAGAAGGACACTCCGGGGCCCGGGCCACCTCCGTCCCCCCGTCTCCCGTGACCCGGCCGAGAGGGGAGCGGCGGGGCGTGAGCCACTAGAACCGAGAGGAGGGTCCCCGAGAGGGGGCATCGCTGCGGGTGCCATGGTGCCCACGGAGGGTGCCCGGTTCCGCAGCCCCAGAGGCGGCTGCGGGATCGCGGACGCCCCGCGGCCGCCGGAGGGAGGTTTGGTTTTAGTTCGGCGACGCTGCGAGCCGCCGGGAGAGGCGGGAGGCGAGGCCGGGGGGAGGGCGGGCGGGGGTGTGTGTGTGTGTTTCGGGTGATAAATCAGGACTCGCTCTCCCTGCTCTGACAGGTCCTGGCCAGGAGACACGTGTCTGGCCGGCCGAGGAGCGCTCCGCCGCCAAGGCTCCCCGGGGGCGGCGGCCGTCGGGCCCCGCGCCGCCGCTCCCCTCGTCGCCCGGCAGGACGGGCCGGCTCCCGCCTCTCCTTCTCATCTCCCTTCGGCTCCAGCCAGGCAAAGCGACTCCCTCTCGGCTTCTCTCTTCCCCTCCTCGTCCGTGGGGAACGCGCTTCTCTCCGTTCCCTGCTCGGCTCCCGTCGCCGCCTCCCGCTCGCCTTGCCCTGCCGCGCTCCTCTCCGCGCCCGGCTCCAGCCGCCGCCAGTGCCGCGCTCAGCCCGTCCCGCACCGGCCCTCCCGCTGCCAGAGGCGTGCGGCGCTGCTCGCCGTGGGCATCGCTCCCGCAGCTCGGGAAGGCTTCTCCTTTCCTCTTGCTCTATCCCACCGTTTGCTGTCTTCTCCGCTTTCTTTTCCCTCCCTCTCAGCCAAGAACGGCATCCCTACAGATTTCTCCTCCTGTCCACTCGGTACAGCTATGCTCCCTCTCAGTTTCTTTCTCATTAATAAACCATCCCTCACCCTCACTCTGACCTGGGTCCATTTCACCCATAAATTTCTCTTCTCCCGTGTCTCTCTCTCGGCTGCCCACCGCCACTTACCCGCGGCAGCCCCCTCCCGGCTCCGGGGACAACCCCCGGCCGTCCCCACACCAGCACCGCTCGCCACTGCCGGCGGCTCCCACGGGGACCAACTCATATTGATTGTGCTGTTGATTAAAAATCGGAAAATAATCCCTCCAGGTTTGATACTCCACACCAGACGTGCAGCCACAAAACGACGGGTGCAGTTTTGTGGGACACGCGTGTACCCCCGCACCCGCGCGTGGGGGGCACAGCCCGACTGTGACACCACAGTGGCGAGCACGCATCAAACGGCTACGGATTTATCTCAAGTGTCATATCCGCCCCTTTTCTCTCCGAAGTAGATGTTTTTAAAAGTTGTGCTCTGCACCCAAACTCTCCCCCGATCCCCTCGATATCACGTCGCCCCAGCAGGCGCTGCCTCCGCAGAAAAGTTTAAAGCACATCAGGACTTGGTGTTCGCTGCCTGTTTTGCTTTTGAGTAAAAAAGAAATAAACCTAGAACTGATTTTAATATTTTTATCTCCCTTGATTTTTACTATCAAAAGCACCAATGTTGAATAGAAGAAAATAAATTCCTCCAACCCAGAGTTGTTTTTGCACTAGATTAGCAGATAGGAAATGCTATAAAGATGAACTTAATACGATTAGAGATGTTTCCTACAGATTTTCATATATTGATTCAGGGAATTTTAATTCTGGAGCTTGCTTTGCTATAATCCGCATTTATTACAAGCTGATACAGTTTTATTATAGCAAGCTATCAAGGTCGATTCCTTTAACTGCATAATCTGACATGAATTTCATTTTTAAAGAAATGTAGTTATAAAAATCCATACTGTGGGCACAGTGGTTATATTGTACCTAAATCATATTTTAAAGGCAATAAATCCAGAGAGTATTTAGGAAGAGAGGGGAATACGGTTAAACGGCTCGCATTCAGCCACAACTCCTCAAAAGATCTTCCAAACTTTTTGTTTTGTTTAAACACCGAGTATTTTAAAAAGCAGATAACGCTGCAGGTTCAGGTCTCCTCTTCCCACAGGCTGTGAGAACTTCTTAGGTTCCAGCCCAGGCTCTTCCTCTGCCCGCAGCAGCGGAGCAGGGCACACCGGTGCTTGCCAAAGACGCGCCGTGATTGAACTGTATTTTAACTACTCTTAAAACGCTAAACTGCAACTCACGCTGGTTTCAGAGAAGGAAAAAGGGGGGGGGGGGGCGCAGCAACAACAACATCAATAACAAAATACAAACCGTAATTTAAAATGTGTGGATCATAAAAAAACACAAACCCAAACCCTATTCTGTAATTAAACCGTATCTTGACTCCTTCCCAATAGCTCCTTACAAACCCGTGCTACTGCTCCCTTTGCAAATGTTGCACGTACCAGGTACTTCCTTCTTAGCCTTGTAGTGATTCAGAACAGAGGGAATAAGCAAAATGATCATAAATTTCCTAATTAGAGATTTCGCACCAAGACAAAAAGGTGTTAATGAGTTTAATTCCAGTGCCTGTCATTGTCCCTTTTTTCACACCACTTATTTACTAATGGCCCAGAGGGCTGCTCCCGTCTCTCCTTTGTTAAGATTTTAATTTGCCTTCTTTTCTGCCTTTGATGTAAAATTGTGACCTACAACTCTTTGAAGTCCCCTATTAGGAGGAAAATTAACTTAGCTTTTCCACTGTATCTGCGCACTGTTAGCCCAGGCAAATGTAGAGAACTCCTTAAAGATCCAGTACATCAGGAAAAATTTCAAGGTAGTTCTGGAAATGCAAATTTTAAAAAATGCAATAGAATTTTAAATCTGTATTAGAAGATATAACTCTTGCAAGGGCCGGAGGGGGGGAAGGGAAGAAGGGAATATCTTAATAAAAACACCAAAAAGAATCTGGGCAAGTAAAGGTTGTAAATCTAAAACCTGAAAAGTGGAACTGAGGGATGGTCTTGGTGTGAGCCTTTATTTTTAAATGTCCCAACTTTTCCCTGTCCCTCTCGTGTACTGCTCACAAATGACACCCCGGCTTCCTATGCGCTGGGGGGGGAGGGGGTGGCAGGGCTACGAAAGAAATTATATCTAAATCTATCTCTATATAATTAGAATACCATGAGGCAGGGTTAAACCTTTGTAAAACACACAACTGATTGGCGATTGCTAAAACGAGATTTGAAAGCAACTCAAATAAAAGATCGCGACGTCAGTAAACAGATTTAGAAAAAAAAAAAAAAAGGGGGGGGGGGGGGAAAGCAGCTAGTGACAAACCCGGAGAGAGCGAGCTCTGGGCATGAGAGAGAGAGGGAGGCAGAGGGAGAGAGAGACTTAAAAGAAATAGGAGGGGCTTGTGAGAGACTAGAAATGTCAATCAGAGCCCAGAGTCCCAATAATCTCAGGCAATCTGTTAGGACCTGACCTGGGTCCACTCAGATCAATAGGAAAAGTGAGAGAAGAAAGAAGCGATCGGATCGTTTACCGCGGCGGCCGAGGACAGGAGGGAGCCCGCGGCCTCCGCGCACCCTCGGCTCCCTCCCATGTCTGCCGGAGTTTGCGGGAGGCGCTGAAAGTGCGGGCGGCCGGCGAGGGCGAGCGACCCGGCTCCCTCCTTCGCTCCCGGCCCTGCTACTTTCTCCCCTTTCTCTCCCTTCTTCCTCTCGTCTCCCCCCCCTCCTCTTCCTCCTCCCCCCTCCCCTGCCCCGCTCCCCCACCATGTCTTTCCCCCAGCTGGGCTACCAGTACATCAGGCCGCTTTACCCGGCGGAGCGCCCGGGCAGCGGCGGCTCCCGCGGCGGCGCCGAGCTGGCCCCGTCCGGGACCCTCTCCAACGTGCTCTCCTCCATGTACGGCGCGCCCTACGCCGCCGCCGCCGCCGCCCAGGGCTACGGAGCCTTCCTGCCCTACGCCGCAGAGCTGCCCATCTTCCCCCAGCTGGTAAGAGGCCCCCGGGGCTCGCCGCTCGCTCCCCGGGGCGCTCGGTTCGCGTTGGGGATCGGCCCGGGGGGAGCCGGGAGAGACGCCGGGAGGGCTGTCAGGGGAGAGACGGGCGCTATCGCCGCC